AGATGTGAAATGACTTGCCCAAGGTCACAGAGTCAGGATTTGGACCCATACCCTCAGCCTCAAAATACAGTTCTCTTCCCTTGATATTACATTGCTTCCCAAAGTCCCCCTTACACAGTCCCATCTCCTTGTTTCACTGCTTACAAATCCTAACTTTCTGATTATAATCTTATGTCTCTAAAATGGGATCAAAAGTGTGGAGGGCCTCCAGTACAAGCTATTGAAGGTTTGTTTGAAGAGGGGTAACACAGTGAGAGATAATACAGGGAAAGAAGCAAATGGCAGGAGTAGAAGATAAGACTTTTTTCCCCCAAAAAAAAACCAAGCATCATTCCCTAAAATCACTTTTATCAGGGGGCCAAAAAGGTGCTCCTAGCAAATACAAAAAGGCAGACATTTTACACATTCTCTGATTACCAGCCAGTACAATAAGAAATCTAAACCAGACAGAATTCAAAGGCACCCAACTAGACAGACACTCCAGATAATCACTTAAAGAACTGCCAGAGTCAAAAAGGAAACCTGGACATCGAAAAGTAAACAGAGGCAGGGCCGACTGAAGTATGAGGGAGGGGCTTCCCAAGCAGCATTCTGGGAGGACTAGGCACTCACTGCTCTAACTACTTCTATTAGTGAGAAGTAAAAAGCAAATAGAGCCAAGTCTGACTCTACCCACAAAACTTCAAAGAGAAACAAAAGAAGCAAACAGTAAATAACAGAAATAAGTGCAAAACCAACCGTTGGTCCTTTGAAAAATGAACAAAAGTACTCATCTGTTAGCAGGATTACTAGAGAGGAAGAAGGAAAAAAAGGAAATTGATGAAATCATGAACTCATGAACCCATGAAGGGAGCTATCACAATATAAGAAAATAAAGGTTATATAATAAATCGAAAGGGTCTTTTGGGGGCAGACTATAGTAACTTGGCTATACAGTAAGATTGTGAGAATCAAGGACAAAACAATTAATATTTATCAATTGTCAAGATACTAAAGAAACAGAGAATAGGAATAAATGAATAATAGAAGAAGAAATGGATTTTCTGGCAAATTTTTCTAAACTTTTCAAGAACAAAAATGTTTTAAATGGTCTGAAGGGTTTTTTTTCTTAACTTACTAAAAGGTATATAGTTAAAACAGCTGCTAACATTATATTTGACAGCATCCTGGAGTCATTCTTGAAAACAGAAGATAAGGATGTGCCCTTTCATTTTTCATCTAATTGCTAGTTAAAGCAATTAAATAATAGTAGGTCCTTAAAAAAAAGTGCTTGTTTGAAAAGAAGAAATATAGAAGTGAGTATATCAACTTAAAGGAAATCAACCCCCAATTTATTATTGATCTCAAATATGCTCAACAACATTGTAGGCTATATAAATCCACAAAAAACACTTGTACTCATAAAAAGGGATTCCATGCAGAATATCACCAATAAACAAATCATTTGGGTATTAGCTTAACTCGGAACCAAGAGATTTGTTCTCCTAAAAAAGGAAATAAAGGACATGAATCAGTGAAAAGAATGTCCTTTGCTCCTGGTAAAGCTTAAAATATTACTGACATTAACATATAAATTTAATAGAACACTGATTAATGTTCCCAGGGAATGTTTTATGAAAATTGACAAATTGATGGTAACATGTAACTGGAAGAATAAGCAGATTAGAATACCAAAGAAAAACTTAATGAAAAGAATTAACAAAGGTACTCATCCTACCAGATTTTAAAATATATTACCAATGGGCAATTAACAAAACCATATGATCACTGTGTTTGACAGAAAAAAAAATTATTAATTCCATAGAAGAGATTCCAGAAAAAGAATCAAACTATTATTCCATGATAAATTGGACATCAGAAATGAAGAAGAATTAACTTGTATCCATGACCCACATTACAAAAAAATCCAGATGGTTCAGAGAGTTTAAATTTTTAAATCTCATAAAACAGAAGCATAACATTTCTCCCAGGTATACAGGAAAGATTTACTTCTGAATATTAAAGAGTTGGAGGGCTTTCATAGACAAGATAGATGTCCACATATATATTAAAATCCTGCACAACTTAATTTACTAAAATACATATCAAAAGAAAAATCAATAAAATAGAAAAAATATTTGAAAAACAATTGATAAAACTTTATCTAATGAGATAATGCATGAGAAAGTGCTTTGTTAAACACCAATAAATGTAAACTATGAGAAGAGATTTTGTATCTAAAACACATCGAAAATTGACACAAATATATATAGTTATCACTTAGATTCCATTCAATCTATGATATAAATAAAGTTTACACCAGAGGAAATAGACACAATAAATCACTGAATTAAAGCACTTCTGAAATGAAGGGGTCCTTAGACAATGGTGCAGTCTGGCCCACTCTGAGGCCCAGAGAGGGAAAGGGACTGGGCCAAATTACACAGCTTGTTAGTGGCAGAGGCAGGTGTAGAATCCACCTCTCCTGACCCCTAATCCATCAAAAACAACAGCTTCACAATTAAACGCAGAAATGCACATCGAAACAACTTTAAAGTGCCACTCATAAACTTCTGAAACTAGCCAATGAATGAATAAAACAATGAAAGGCCAGAGAAGCAAAGATTGGGGTGCTGTCCTGATTCTGTGGAGAAAAACACTCAGAAAGAAAAGGAATTTGCTCCCCAATTTGCAAAGTACCATTATATCAGAGAAACTGACAGCAAGATAATTAGTCAACAACACAGCATATTCAAGCAAATTACAGCATATTAAGGCAATGATTATTTTTAAATGACACATATGAGGATCATATTAATACATACAAGTATACACATGAAAAGCATTAAGTGACAAAAAGCACATAAAACAGTACCTGTAAAGTGATCATGTGATCTAAATGTGTAACAGAAAAAATAAGCCCAGAGGATTAGAAGGGACCTTCAAGGTCATCTAGTCTAACCTCTTTGTTTTGTAAATGAGGAATCTGATGCCCCCAAATGACTTGCCCGAGGTCACACAAGTAGTAAGTAGCAGAGCCATTATTCAAACCTAGATCCTCTATTTCAGAAGGGAACCTAGGTGAACCCAAATAGGGCTTAAAGTTCATTAGGCTATTTTCGTTTTGCAAAGATGATTAGGCTCATAATATTTTTAAATGCACTGAAACAAAACACCTTTAGAGTTTCTTGAGGGTCCATTACCCTACAACTTATATTTATGCTGCAAGTAGAATGAAAGCAAAGATAATCTACCATTTCTAGGCAATACACTGCTATTAGCACAGCCATCCACAAGCCACCACATTAGAAGCTAGCTCTGAAGAAAAGGGCTGTAGGATGATTCCCTAATTTCAAAATCTAAGTCACCAATATAGTAAACGAATAGCTAAGGCCAGAAGGTTGCTTCCCCTGGGTTGGGCCATTGGATCAGACATTTAAAGTTCAAAGGGACCTTAGAGGCCGGAGTTCAATTCTTCCCCTCCCCCCACTCCATCATCTTTCTGATGAGGAAACTGAGGTCCAGAGAGGTTAAGTGACTTGTCCACAGTCATACAACTAATAAAAAGATGAGCTGAGATTTGAACCCAGGTCCTCTTGACTCTAAATCTAGTGCCCTATCTGTTAGCAGAGGTGTCTAACTCATGGCCCTCAAAACCAAATTGAAATGTAACTGGAAATATTTAAAGAAATAAATAAAAATATAATACAACATAATGTTAGTTTGTGGTTTTCTAAGTCAATACACAGCCTGCAGGAATCCATTCCTACTTAAATTTGATGCCACTGTACTACAGCATGCAGATTCAGAAACATGTTGGTCCATTCAGAAATGACTGGATCTATTCAGTTGATTGAAGCTAACTAAATTGATAAGGGTAAATTTTATAATCCAGGACACATTTATTAAATTGCAATCATAAATAAAATTGCCAAATTGACAAGAGGTACATTTTTTTTTTCACCAGGAAGAAAATCTGCATAGAGAAACTGATTTAAGATCACCACCCTTCTGTTTGCATTTGTTGTTACTCTTTTTCATCTCAACAGACTCTTATGATCGGTTACTTAGGATTCCCAAGTACACAGACTTTTCATTTATATTTTAGATTGGTGGCATATTGATAACGTGGGAAGATATTTGAATTTCTTCAGTAAATGCTATCCAATTTACACTGTGCGATGGCTAGATTACTGCTGGGAAGTTTTCCTATAGAGAACTAATCTTCTCCATTCTGTGAGAATCATTGTTAGTCTCAATCACAGAGGACGGATGACCTTTCCCCAATGTGAGGGCCTAGGTTTCTTCTTGAACGGTTGGTATATACAATGTCTACACCATGCATAGGTCTCTCGATGGGATAATTAAGTGCCATTGCCAAGTCAGGTTCTTAAGCAGTACAGTGACATGATGAAATCTTCTCTGCAGATTAATCCAAAAGCTGGGAGCAAATGGATTACAGGAAAGAGACACTGGAGACAGACCACCAAAGGGGAAGTAATTGAGAGCCTGGCGTACAGTAGTAGGACTGGAAGAGATGAACTGAACAAACACTGAAGAATATTTACCATTCCATTGTCACTGGGGTAACAGAAAAATGTGACATGTGCTTTCCAAAAGCTTAAAAGTATTTGATGGAGATTGGCTCAATTGTAGCTGTAGTGAAGAAAGTGCTTCATAAACTGTAAAGTGCTATGTGAATATGAATTATCGTCATTAGACCTGTGGGTATGCAAGGCATGACAATGCTGCAAAGACTCACTGCAGCCTTTCATATACTTGTCCAAAGTTTCTGCTTTGTATTTTCTAATATGATTGAGGCCTACATTCTGACTGGAGAGTTTTTCACATTCATTACATTCACAAAGTTTCACTCCACCATGAATTTTCTGATGATGTATATATACTGACATATATATATATATATATATATATATGTATATATATGTATGTATATCAGTATACACACTAACACATACACTGATAGTCCATAAGACTGTAGTAAAAATAACAGTTAACCAAAATTCATTAGGTTTTTCTTACACATGAATTCCCCAATATTGACTAAGCCCTGATCTTTTCCAAAAAGCTTTCCTACGTTCATTACATCAACAGGGGTTTGCTTTACTATTAACTAATGTTTAACAAAATCCAAGTGTTTTCTGAAGGTCTTCCCAAACTCATTACTTTCACTGGATTTCTAACTACTGTGAGTTTTTTGATGTCTGTACAGGGCTGAACTCTTCCTAAAGGCTTTCCCACACTCATCACATCCATGGAGTGATGCTCCACTATGAATTCTCCGATGTCGATTAAGACCTGAACTCCTCCTGAAGGTTTTCCCACATTCATTACATTCATAAGGTTTTGCTCCACTATGAATTCTCCTATGTTTAATAAGGTCTGAAGGTCCCCTGAAGGTTTTCCCACATTCAATACATTCATAAGGTTTCTCTCCAGTATGAATTCTCTGATGCTCTAAAAGGCTTGAACTCTGCCTGAAAGGCTTCCCACATTCTTTACATTCATAGGGTTTTTCTCCTGTATGAATTCGCCGATGTTTGGTAAGCTCTGAACTCCTTCTGAATGCCTTTCCACATTGAATACATTCAAATGGTTTTGCTCCACTATGAATTCTCTGATGTTCAAGAAGGCCGGATTGCCCCCGAAAAGCTTTACCACATTCACTACACTTATAGGGTTTTTCTCCAGTATGAATTCTCTGATGCTTAATAAGGTCTGAATGTTCCCTGAAGCCCTTTCTACAGTCATTACATTCAAAAGGCTTCTCACCGCTGTGAATTCTTTGATGCCGAATAAGGTGTGTGCTAACCTTGAAGGCTCTCCCACATTCATTACATTCATAGGGCTTCTCTCCACTATGAACTTTCTGATGTTGGCTAAGGCCTGTACTCCTCTTAAAGGACTTCCCACATTCATTACATCGATAGGGCTTTACTATGCTATGAATTCGCCTATGTCTACTAAGTCCTGAGCTCCTCCTGAAGGCTTTCCCACACTCCTTACATTTATAGGGTTTTGCTCCACTGTGAATTCTCTCATGTTCAATAAGCTCTGAGTGTCCCTTGAAGCCTTTCCCACATTCCTCACATTCATGGGGCTTCTCTCCACTATGTATTCGCTCGTGCTGAATAAGTTCTATGTTAAGTCTGAAGCCTTTCCCACATTCCTCGCATTCATGGGGCTTCTCGACCCTTTGCTCCTGTCTCTGGTGCTGTTTTGGAAAGTCTGAATTATTTGTGAGGCTGCCACATGAATCAGATGGCTGAGCCCTATCTCCTACAGGGTTTCCCTGCTGCCACTCTAAACTGCCCTCAACATCACAGCGGCCTCCAACTAGACAGTCTTGGTGAATCCCCTTTGGGGAGCCTGCTGATAATATTCCCTGGGTTTTCACTTCTTCACCAACTTCCTGCTGTGGAATAGATGCCTCTTTCTCAGTCACAGAGCTCTTAGCTGAAATGATAAATAGAAAATACCCAGATCAATAGAGTGTGAGAATCATTCCATAAATGAGTGCCTACTGGAGGCAGGTGTCTTTGAAAGGACTTCAATACAACTCTGAAGGTAGCAGATGAGAAGTGGGTGAGAAGATGAAGACATAAGAGCTGCACAAATGGCAAAGGAAGTAGAGAAAAGAGGTGGCTCCATCAAAGAAGGTGGGCATTATAAGAACAGGAGAAGATGGGAGAATGAGAAGTAACAGAAGGAGCAGTGAAAGAGAGCGAGTGGGCCCGGAGCTGTGGTCAAGAAGAGAGGAGTGGCCAGGGAGGGTGAGAATGACTGCTAGTAGAGGGATAAAGAAATGGAGCATCTGGGATGAAATGGACTCCAAGAGTGCCAGCACTGCTGGCCCCAGGATCACTGGATCCCTTTTACAGGATGCCACAAAGCAGAGGGTGACAAAGCAAGAGCTCTGCCCTCCTGGATGCCACACCCTGGGTATTGCAACCTCTGTTTATCTCTTCCAGAACCCTTCTTCCATTTTGGTAAAAGAAATCTAGCATTAGCAAGACCATCAGCCAGACAATGACAAATAACCTTTATTATAATGGGATGACTTCAAGGATGGTTTTTTTAACAACTAAGAAATATGAGCTTCAGTCCAATGTAATTTAGTATTAACTGTCTTGCTTGCTTCTAGCTTCCAGCTCTTAGAACAATGCCTGGCATATAGGAAGCTCTCCTGATCCATCTATTTATCTAGTTACCATAGGTGGAATAGCTAGGCTCTTTCCTAATGCATAAATGACTTTTACAAAAAATGCCTTTCCTAATGAGACAATATTTAACCCAAGTTTCTTTTTTACAAGGCTGATCTGTAAGCTCAGACATTTACATCCAAGCCCAGACAAGCTCCATCTATCCTAGCATCAATTGTATATTCCCCAAACACTCCAAAATTGGGGGAAAGAGGTAGTCCTTTTCTCTGATGGAATGAAAAGTATGGGATAGCAACCACTGGGGTCTAAGAAACAGATGACCAGAAGAAGAAATGGAAAGGAAAGCACCGTTAGGCATAATGACACCTTTCACTTGGACAGATCAAAGCAGCATCAAGGAGACCAGGATAATACATAAATCAAACAACTGACCCCATCCCATTGAACAACTAGACTGCTGTGTATTCACTCACCACCATGGATCTCTGGAACCTCAGTTCTGGGCAGATCTGGCAAGCATGGTACTTCCCCTCGCTCCAGCTGGGAGATCAGGTCAGGTTTGGAAACAGGAAATCCTGCTCATGGGAAAGGAAGCCACATGTGGCCATTTGGTCTTAGGACCAACCCAGAGCTGCCCCAGAGCTCCATCCCAGCCAGATTGTGTTCAGGGATTTTACAGAGAGAAGACTAGGAAGGTCCAGATGAAGAATACCAACCCAGAGCAAGGTTTACCATAAGAATCCTCTCTGCTACTAGAACCTAAAGTTAACTGGGCTCAGGATAACCATCCCACCTGAGATTTCATGGGCTTAGGAAACTTGGGGTTCTACCAACACAGGTCAGCACTTGGTCTGAAACTGAAGAGACTTACCTGGGCCACTGAAAAGTTAAGTAACTTGCCCAGCAACATAGAGCCCCCAGCAAGGGTCAGAGGAAGAACTTGAACCCAGGGCTTCCTAACTCCAAGGCCGTGCTCTATCCACTACACCACACTACCTCGTCACCATCCCACGAAATTAATTGAATAACAAAATGTTAACAATGTCTCAAAGACTCCACGGCAGAAGAAGCAGAGTACTTTAAATTAAGAGATCCAGGTTCCAATCAGTTGTGGAAGCTCAGGCAAATAACTTACCCTTTCGGAGCCTCCATCTCCTCTGTGAAATGAGAGGCTTAAATGAGATAAGGTCTATAGGCCCTTCCAGGACGATGATCTGAAAAGCCTCTCTGTTCTCTGACTCTAAATGTGAGCAGTTCAGAGACACCTGGACTAACACCAGCACCAGGACCAGCACCAGCACCAGCACCACCACCACCACCACACACAAGCGGAAAAAGACTAAAGGGTACTAAGGAAGTCAACGATAATGATGATTAAGGAGAAGTAACTGTGTCCCTCATGCAAAGACACTAAAAAGATAATTTTTCTTTGGTCTGAAGAGCAAACCCAATAGGGGATGTTATCAAAGGGAAAAGGGGGATACTCTACCTTAAATTTGAAAGAGAGGAGCAAGTTTTAAGACAAAAGGAAGTCCTACTTTACACACAGAAGAATATAGGAAAAATTCAATTCAAGTTTGTGGACTTTCAAAAAGCATTCAGTGTAATAGTGTTGGATGTAAAGCAGTCCTTACTTCCTTTAGTTTGTCCTCAAATGACCTAGCTCTTTGACCACTCAAGGGGCAGGCATAATTCAAGACACCTGATAATGAGGCATGCTACCCACCTCTCAACAGGCAGTGGATTCAGGGTACAGAACGAGGACTATGTTTTTGGACACCACCAATTAGATAACTTGTTTCATTTGACTTTGCTCATTTGTTACAAGAGCTTTGTTTTTCTTTTTTCCAGTGGGGAGGTGAGTAAGAGGGAGAAAAATGCTTAATAAGTGAAAAAAAATTTAATAACTAAGAAGAAAGGGAGTAGAGCCTCATTCTAGCATTATAGGATCTAGAGAATGAAGCCATGCACCTCTATTCATATCTCTCATGGTTTATAATCTTCAATCACGTCCTATTTCTGCCTACTACCTTTTATCTCCTAAAAATTCTCCAAGTCACTTCTCATGTGGAAACCGCCACATCCCTTGGTCATAATCAAAAGCAAACACCTTTGAATCCCTGGAATCTTCTATGGGTTTTCCGTGTCTTTCTTTGGGTGTGGTGACCAAACTCTAATTAGCATCTCATCTACCCAACCAATGTGAGAGGCCACAGTAACAAGATAATGCCAACCTGCCTCTGAAACAAAAGTGAAACAAACTTGCCATTTAATCTTCAAAATTATTTATGAAGTCTAAAAAAACAGTCTATAATTAATGTTTTTAGCTAAGGAGATTTAGGATTATCCCTAACCTTCAGTAGTCCATATCATGGAGAAAAACTATTATACATTCCTACCCATTAACCCCTGGTACCTCTGGTTGCCAAAGGCAGACTCCTGGACTGGAAGGATTATTGGTACCCCTTTTCCCAGACATTTATACACACAGCTGTTAACAAAAAAGGAAACCAAAGAAGAGATGGTACCTCCAGTGGTGAGGCTGGAGGGGGTCCTTACCCAGTGAAATGACATTCTCATAATTCTCCAGCATCACGTCCCTGTAGAGCCTCCTCTGAGCAGGGTCCAGAAGCCCCCATTCCTCTTTTGTGAGATACACGGCCACATCCTCAAATGTCACCAATTCCTAAAAGAAAAGGTTCCTGCTGCCCCCATGGATAATCCCACCAGCCTGACCCAGGACTAGGGACAAAGTGAGCAGCCCCAGAAGGGTTAGGGCAAGGTGGCTAAGGATTTGGAGTGCGTGTGTGTGAGTGTGTGTTTGCGCGCTCGCACGCGCGAGTACTCACACGCTGGGGAGGGGGAGTTGGGGAGAGGGAGAGCATGAGGGTAGAAATATAGGGACAAGTAAACCTAAGTTACATGAGACAGTACAAAGAACACCTGACCAGAAGTCACGAAGCCTGGCTTCCAGTTTGGGTTCTGTTACAAACTTGCCAAATTCTCTACAATTCTGAAACACAGTTTTCCAATTCACGAAGTGCCAGTAACAATAGCTATGTCCTCTACTCCAAGAGAGGGAACTAGGGCTCAGGTCACTGGATTCAACCGCACAGGAAGAGATGCTGAGTGAAGGAGCCATGCATGATCCTCAGGTAATACCAATATTCTCACATCTTGAAAAAGGAAGAGAGAAGCACAGCTCACCTGGGGCCTGGCTGTCAGAAGAAGAGCTGCCATCAGTTCCGCTCCTGTGCTCCCCTTTCGGGAAAGTGTTAGACTCTGGGGAACAGGCAAAGCTAAGAAAAGTGAATAAAGCCATGAGTGAGACCCAACCCGGCCCTGTGGGTCTCCCACAAACGAGATATAGAATCCTTTTGGGCTCTTTGATGAAAATACTTTAAACCACTGTTCAAAAGCCTTGTTGAATTTTAGCTTTAAATGTAGTTGTTTATTGATGGAGCCAAGACACAAGGCAACATGGGTTAACCCAATGAAACTCCCTTAAACAACTGAAGAAGTGGGCCAGAAAACAAAAGGAAGACCAGAGAGATGGAGAGAGAAGGAAAGGGAAGAGAAGGAAAGGAGAAAGGGGGGGGAGGAGAGGGAGGGTGAAAGGGAAAGAGAGAGGGAGAGAGAGAGAAGAGAGAAGCAAAAAAGAGAAAGATTCCTCCAAAGACTATATTATTAGTAATTATTATAAGAAAGAAACCAAAAACAAATGAGAAAAGGAAAAAATGGCTCAAACAAGAAGTTCTGAAAGGCCCAAAGTATTGAGAAGCAAGATTTAAAAGAATCAAATGTTTAAATTACACAGTTAAGAAATCACAAGAAAGATCTTAAAAGCAACAATGAATAAACCTGAAATCATATCAGCCAAATCAATCAATAAATAAGTATTGATTAAGTGCCTATTCTGTGCCAGAAACTGTGCAAGGCACCAGGATTTAAAGAAAAAAATGAAACAGTCCCTGTCCTCAAGGAGCTTACATTCTCTCAAGGGACAATATGAATTTCTATAAGTAGATACAAAATAAATACGAAGTAGAAACGAGGTGTTGGGGCGGGGGGGGGGACAGGAAAGGCTTCATGGAGGAGGAGGCCTCAAAGGGAGTTAGAGGCTCTGAGGTGGAGGCAAGGAGAAAAAAGATGGAACATCCTGAATGGGAAACAGCAAACAGGCAAGTTTGGCTAGAATGTAGACTGCCTGAAGAGACATAACATGTAATGAGTCTGGAGTGAAATTGTGAAGAGCTTTAAATGTCAAATGAAGGAGTTTATATTTGATCCAAGCGATAATAGGGAACCACTGGAGCTTCTTGAGTGAGGGAGTGAAATGGTCAGACGTGTGTTGTAGCATTATCATTCTGGCATGTCTTGGAAGGATGGAATAGAGAGGCAAGAGGCAGGTGCAGGGAGACCAATTAGGAGGCCACTGCAGTAGTCCAGGTAAGAGGTGACGAGGCCCCGAACTACAGTGGTGGTTGTGGAAGTGCAGAAAAAGGGATGGATGGAAGAGATGTTATGAAGGTAGAATTCACAAGAAGTAATAACTGATCAGAAATGGAGGTAAGGGAGACTGAGGTCTAGAATGAGCCCCAGGTTGTGAGGCTGGGTGACAGGAAGAATGGTGGTACACTCAACAAAAATAGGAAAGTTCTGTAGATAGGTGGGTTTGGGGGGAAGATAATGAGTTCTCCCAGGAGAATAAATTATACAATAACAACATTATAAAGAAAAACAATTTTGAAAGATTTGAGGATTCTGATTAATGCAATGATAAACCAAAGGACTGACAATGAAGCATGTTACCCCACTTCTAACAGAGAAGTGATGGCCTCAGAGCACAGAATAAGACATACATTTCCAGACATGGCTAATATGGGAATTTGCTTTGTTTGACAAGGGCTTTGTTTTTCTTTTCTTTTTCTAATGGGAGGATAAAGAAGGGGGAGCAAAATAAAGAAAAAGAAAACAGGGTTATGGAGGTATCTTTTTTTAAAATGTGCAGAAAAAAATAGAAGAAAGGCCGAAAAGAAGTAGAAATGTGCAGGATTGCTTAACAGCTGCAGGCTGACTTTATTATAACTTCAAAAGAAAAGCAGGTTCTCTGCACTTTCATGTAAGCCTTTTCTTCCTATTCTATTATGCCCATTTTATTTGGTGGTGTTGAAGATTGGGATAAAAAGAAATACTCTTTAAAAGATTTAGCTAAAATCCCATCATCTTCAGGAAGCCTTTTCTGTTCTCCAGTTGTTAGGGCCTTATCCTCTAAGATTACCTTCCTTCTTGCATGTACCTATTTACATGTTGTCTCCCTCATTAGTCAGTCAATAAACATTTACAGAGTGCCTACTATGCACCAGGCACTGTGCTAAGCACTGGGCATCCAAAAAGAAGCAAAAGACCTGATCTCAAGGAGCTCACAATCTAATGGAGGAGACAACAAGCAAACAAATATAGAGATAACCAAGCTCTACCCAGGGAAAGTGCAGAGAGTATTTGTGCCTTTCTTTATATTCCCAGCACTTATTAGCACAGTGCCTGGCACAGAGTAAGCACTTCATGATGAAGCTGGGGGAGGGGGTGGGAGAAGGGAGAGGAGAGCAGAGGAAGAAAGAAAGAAAGAAAGAAAGAAAGAAAGAAAGAAAGAAAGAAAGAGAAAGGAAGGAAGGAAGGAAGAAAGAAAGGAAGGAAGAAAAAGAAAGAAGGGGAAGAGAGGGAGGGGAGGAAGGAAGGAAGGAAAGGAGGAAGGAAGAAAGAAAGGAAGATGAGTTCTGTTTTAGACATGCTGAGTTTGATATGCCTATAGGACATCCAGCAATTGGTAATGCAAACAAAACTGGAGCTCAGCAGAGAGCAGATGGAGATAACAGCAAAGTAGCTTATGAAAGTAGAAGACAAGAAAGAGGAAGAAAGCAGGAAAAAATGTCTTTAACCTAAGCAATCAGCAATGAAAAATCCTATAGCAATTGAAAACCCCTAGAACTTAGAAAATCAGCCAAGGAGAAGTTTCTTCCACTTCACAGAAATACCAGACATGCAAGAAAGCCCCAAAGGAAATGATCACAAATTTTCTGGAAAATGAGCAGGTGAGTGAAGAAATGATAAATGGAAGCACAACCCAAATGAAGCAATAGCCAAACAAAATAGGGCAAAAATCTTTAAGGAAAAAGAAAAGATCTTTAAAAACACACATCTTGTGTAACCAGTATAGTCCCAGACCTCTCAACAACCACACTGGTAAATTGGTTACAGTCTCCATGGTTCAATTAAATCATAAAAACAGGCTGGATAAAGGGTGAACAAGTTTTCTTTTACACTTTACAATCTATGGCTATGTCAAGCTTCAGTTTGCTAAGTGTGGTCAAGCCTTCAGCTGCACTCACACAAACATACCTAGCCACCAATCTGTAACTTCAGAGGGGGGTCTTGGAAAGGTGCTTGAGGCTCACAAACAGCACTCGATCCCCAGCAATTCCTGACTCTGAGGCCCACTTTCCACCCAATAGCACAACAAAAGACTTTCGATTCACAGGAGCATTTGTAATAAACATATAAAAGGGAAGGGGGAATGGAAGCTTTGAGTAGACTAGATACTACAGCAGTTGTTTGCATATTCTGTTCATAGGAAGAAGAAAAAGCGAGTCAAATTAAGAGATGACTCTTGTTTGCCCCCTACTAAAGTTCTTCTCTGATATTGCATGATGGCTTAGAGATGATCCTGGGGTCTTGGAGGCTACACCAGCAGAGGCCAAGCCTCTGGCAAGTCTAACCAAACTGGAGAAGCTCTAGAAAAGGGGCCCACCTCATCGAGGCCAACAAATATGTCTCTGTCATTTCCTCAATGACCAACCAGTCTAGCTAAATTCAGACAGGCTCACCATCAGAAGGCTCGTCATAAGGTGAGGGATGGTAAGATTCATGGAGCAAGCTTCCATACCCCTAAATTATTATGGTATAGTTTATTCACAAATGAAATGTGTTTTATTGATTGTATGCAGAAAAGGGCTTGAGAACAATAAGATACTATATAGATTGTTTGTATAATGAAAGCATTGTTAATAATTCAATACAGATATATTAAGGGTCTACTATGTACCAGGCTAGAAGCAGCATGGTGACAGAGTGCCATGGTGATAGAGAGCCAGCCTAAATCAGGAAGATCTGGGTGAAGTCATCCTCTGACACTTACTAGCATTGTGACCTTGGGCAGATCACTTGACCTCTTAGGACCCGTAGGCAATTCTCTAAAACTCAGAGTATAGATAATTTGCTAATCTATGTGGTGAAGGGATTTTTCACAGTAGGAGCTCCCTCACATATGTGAAATCACAGGTCTTCACCTCCAAAAAGTCTAAGTTGCTGCGAGCACAACCAAGACAAAAATGAAAGTCTCTGCCCTTAAGGAGTGAATATTATACTGGGGGGATACAATATTGACAAAGATAAGTAAATTTAAAGTAATTATAGGAAAGAGAGTGTTCTAACAACTGAGGGGCTTGGGAAAAGCCCAGAACATAGAAGGTGAGATTTGCAGGAAGCTGAGGCTTCCAAAAAGCTGAGGCAAGGAGGGAGTGCATTCATTCTATGTGGGGAAGACAGCCTTGGTGAGGGCATGGAGGGAGGCTATGACCTTCCTAGCAGGGTCAAGAAATAGCATAGGCCACTTTAGGTAGAAAGCAGTATATAAAGTGGAATAATGTGAACTGTCGGGAAAGGTAGGTGGAAGGCAGACTGGGAGGGGTTTTCTGTGCCTGACAGAAGTGCTCATATTTTATCCTAGAGGATGGAGAGGGGGCTTGTCATCCAGAAGAGGGGGGATCAGGTCCCCTCTCTGACACCTACTGGCTGTGGATGTAACCCTGGGCTAGTCACAACTCCTATATGGCCCAAGCAACTCTCTAAGACTTTACAATGGGGGCAGCTAGGTGGCGCAGTGGATAGAGCACCAGCCCTGAAGTCAGGAGGACCTGAGTTCAAATCCGGCCTCAGACCAACACTTGACACTTACTAGCTGTGTGACCCTGGGCAAGTCACTTAACCCCAATTGCCTCAAAACTTAAAAAAAAAAAAAAGACTCTACAATGCAGAGCACATACAGAGGGAATTCTTCACCCAGAGTTCCCTACACCAATGAAATCAGAGGGAAAACACACACACACACACACACACACACACACACATACACTGAAGATTCTTAAGCAGAGGAGTGACATGGTCAGACCTATGGATTAATTACGAATAGCAATTTGATGGCTGTACGAAGAATGGACTTGAGA